CATTTTAGTGGATTGAGGATGCAGTTCTTTTTCCACCTCCTTTTCACCCTCAGAAGAGGATCCCAAGTTGAGAGTCTCACGATCCGAATGCTCGGTCGCTTTCTGCTTCCCTTTTGAGGTTGTCCTCCGGGAAGATTCGGGTTTGTGGCCTTTTTCAGCAATAAGTTGGGCCATCATGTCCTTCAATTGGAGAAGTGTCTCCTGTTGCGCCTGGAGCATGACCTGGTGTTCGTTCACTCTCTTGGCTATGTCCTCAGGATTTCCCGCCATGTAAGCAGATACTTCTTGTGGTCCGACCGAGCTCGAAGATTGAGATTCGGCTATTGCCGAATGCTCATCACTTGTTGTAATTCCTTTGGCCAACTTTTGATAGTCAACCGGGCGAATAGCTCCTGTCCGGGTCCGAGTATGCTTATATACTCCTTCGAACTGATCACAAATTTCCCTAACAGTTGGGGAATTACTTCTTTGTGACTCGTCAGAATCGGAACGTGAGGCTTTTCCTCTACCGATCATGTTGATGGTGACCTCGGGATATTCGATTTCAGAGGTCTTCTTTTTGTGACGACGCTGTCGTTTAGCAGGTCTAGCGACATTCGTCAACCTATTAAACACCGATTGCCTAGGCGTCGATGAGCAACAACTGCATTCGGAGAGAACAGCAGAAATGAGCCGTTCACACTGGCATGAATGAGCCACTTGCTGTGTTGGCTTTCCTCTTGACAGCAATTCACGCAGGTCGGAGACCTGAGAAAGATCTCGTGAAGGTGGAGATGGAACCCCCTGCCCTTGGGTAGGTTGGGCACGAATCTTAAATCCATGCTTGAGGTGTGCGTTTTGATAATGAAACAGACCCCTGAGGGTCGTTCTTTGTTTGAACGCACACTTGTGATGTGCGTTTGGTTGATGACCCAGACCCCTGAGGGTCGGGTTTTGATTGAACGCACGCCTGCGGTGTGCGTTTAAATGATTGAACAGACCCCTGGGGATCTTGTTTTGGGTGAACGCACCCTTGTGGTGTGCGTTTGGCTGTTTGAACAGACCCTTGAGGGTCTTGTTCTGACTGAACGCACGGCTGTGGCGTGCGTTTGAATGGTTGAACGTGCCTTTGGAGGTCACGTTTTGGGACGCATTTTTGAGGTGTGCGTCTATATTGAACAACGCGCCACTGAGGGTCGCGTTTGAGTTGGATAACTCGAGGCTCATAGTCGGGTTCATTGCCACGAAGTGTGCGTTCTGGAGCAGAAACACACAGTTCGGGCACAGGCTCAGAAACACAGTCTTTGCGTTGGGCAGTAGCTCGGCTATTCCGCAAGTATGCTCGCCGTAAGGATCTTCTCCTTCGTCGAGCAGCATTTTTCTTGGCCTGTTTCAAGGCCTTGGCCGCAGCATCGTCGGCGTTGGTCGGATTTTCCTCCGACATAGGTCTCTTTTGACCTATTATGTGCCGTAGTGATACGGGGGAGGAGTCTTCAACTCGCAGAGCGAGTTTAAGGTCTTGGCCAAAGGAGAGGGCTTTCTTTGGCATCTCAGCAGTAGTGATGACCTCCTTAGAGGTCTTGTGGGTATCACACCTAGCTTTTGGGCTAAGCGACACAGAGGAGAGGGCCTCCTTATACTTGGCTTGGTCGAACTCTACGACGAGAGTTTCGACCGTGGTTCCAGTAAGGTGAACGTCGGATTGCGCCACCACTTCCTCGTCAGAGAAGCTAGTCCCCAGCGGAGTCGCCATCTTTTGTTTGTTGGAAATTTGCAGTAAAAAGACAATGAAAGAAAATTTGACTTGTATTCCTCTCAAAATCAATTACAATTTGGATTCCGATTACAAAAGAGAGGAGAATGAATTTGATTCTCCCCTTTGTTTAAAACTGGGTTCTTCTAGGTAGCGATGGAGTGCCTCCTTCGAATGAACTCTTAAATGAGTTTCAAAACTCAGAGCGAGTTGAAACTCTGTAAAAGAGTTGTTGGAACCGAAGATTCGGTTAATTGCCAAGTGGATTATGACGTTGATGAAAGGATCCTCTGGGATTTGATTAACTGATTATTGATCAGTTCCTTGATCTTCAAAAGATCTCCTTCTTCGTGTTGTTGAACTGCTGAAATTTGTTGACCTTGGGCGGTTTTGATGCCAGCTCACCTCAACCCTATGCGGTTTTACTGCCCAAAACTGATCAACCCCTTACTCAGTTGAGTAAGTCGGTTATTTATAGGGGGATTAGGGGTGTAACCGACCCCTAAATCCGCTCCTAAGTGGGCGAAGATCCCTCAGAACCTCTGCGTTCAGCAGCTCAAGCAACACAGGCGCACAGGCCACGTTTGGGCTTTAACTCTGCGTCCAAGGCTTAGGACGCAGAGTTAAATCTCTGTTGGAGATTTGAGACGCACAGGCCGCATGCACTCTGAAATTGGAAACGCACATGTCGCTGGTGCGTTGAAGTTCAACTCTGCGTCCAGAGTTTGGGGCACATAGTTGAGTCCGTCGAAGAACGCACGTTACGTGTGCGTTTTGTGCTTCAACTCTGCGTTACAGAGTTAGATGGTTACTGGAGAACGCACAGGTTGTGTGCGTTTCGAATTTGAGAAACGCAGAAGTGGATTTCTGCGTTTGAGAGAGGTTGTTGACTTGTAACCTCGTCTATTATGACATTGCAAAGGCCATTGCTTATTGATCTTTGTCTGTTATAAGATATGAGAGTCGTCAGATTGTAACTCTCACCATCGATTGTGAAGGCCACTGAATAGAGTTTTCATCAGCTGTCGGAAGTGTCGTCGAATTGTAACTCTTCTCGGTCTGTATGAAAAGTCTCTCATTTGCCGCTTTCGATTGTCGGCGCGAAAGCTATTTGATTGTAGTTTCCGTTGTTGGAGCTTGACGGGAATCAACATCCATAGTGTCTTCTGGACGAATATTTGCCCACAGCTCTCTACCAAGCAACTCCCCAACTAAGTCTAACCTTTTATTTCTGAAATCATTATACTGCTCATCAGCATCTCTAATAGTTGCTAATATAATATTAGTCACGCTGTTGTCGCAGCCATCAAGATCAATCATCTCAGGGATGAGGCTGTGTTTATAGCGGTTGCAGAGTTGCGGATGCAGTGATTAGAAAGTCGTCTGATTGTAACTTCCATTATCAGGGCTTGATAGGGATCGGCTATCTATTGTGATTTTTAGACAGCCTACAGTTTGGCAGATGTTCTTTGACGGCGCATCTCGCGTCGGCATGAGCGGATCTATCGTTGCAGGAGTGGGTGTGGTCCTCACTTCCCCACATAATCACGTATTGCCCCATGCCTTTTCGCTAACGGAACCATGCACCAACAACGTGGCTGAGTACAACGTGCTACTCATTAGACTCAAGTTGGCAAGAGAGTTAGAGATAAAACATCTTGAAGCCTATGGTGACTCTCAGCTAATTGTCAAGCA